GCTATGGAAGCCTGCTTTTCTCAAATTTTAAAGACGTTGGCAAGTCAGATCCGAGCAGACAAAAGCCAAAGAAATGGGCTACGGTAGAAAGAGAAACTTTTAGTAAGAATCGGCCTCATTTAAAGGGCCGCCCCCGCAAGGCATAGTTGGATTTTTTGTATAGATTTGAAATTATCTTGCTGATTGAGCGACCCAATTCCGCGATTCCGGCTGCGTCATTTATCGCGGATCGGTGAAGCTAAGCTCACCGCGGCACGCGACGCGCGCACATTTTCCCGACGTTTAGGCTTCATCATCCATTACGGAAAGCAAATTAGGGTATGCGATAAAATTCATAGAAGTCGCGTAGGCCGCGATAAAATTCATAGAAGTCCCATAGCAATAAAATCCATAGCCACGCGTTTAATGCGTACTCGTAAATCGTGAAATGCGTTTAGTGCGTTTAATTGACCCAAAAATACGCGGAAATCGTGAAAGCCAAACGCAGCCGGCTTCCGAACAGATTCGGGGTCAATGAGGGGGCACTAATGACTGGGGGAGGGAGTGGCGGAAGCGCTGGTCTAGCCAAAATACGCCAATGCTTTTTGCTTCGATGGGTCGGATGGCGTTATTGGAAGAGAGAGAGAGAGAGAGAGTGAGAGAGAGCGAGAGAGTTAGAGGGAGAGGACGAGAGAGAGAGAGAGTTAGAGGGAGCTAGAGAAAAGAACGTGGTTTGAACATTTTTGATCAGAGAGCATAGACCATTGAGGAAATCGAGAGAATCAACAGCGCAATCACACTATCGGATTCTCGTTCTCTCTCTCTATCTCTCACTCTCTCTCGCGCTCCCTCTCGCTCTCTGCTCCATAATTTGCTGCTCCCAATTTTGTTGCGTTATAAGGGGCTGTCACGGGAGATGCAAAATGAATTGCGTCGAATCCCAAATTGTTCCATGGCGTTGTTTTCCAGATTCTATCCAGAATGGCCGTTTTCAGGGTCCCCTAAAAGACGTTGAAGTGCCCCCCTGTGGGGGTGCGTGGGGGGTGCGACGGAGGTGTTTGAACACGCCACACACAACTTTTAGCACGTTTCTGCCATTCTCAAGGATTTCGCGGGAGGTCCAGTGGGGTTTCGGAAGGGGGGAGATGAACAAAACGGGTAGCAAAAAGCCGAGAATTTGACTCCTAGACTCTCGCCTGGCCGATGGAATATTGCTGAAGACGAAGCTAGCTGGCTCCGTTTCTTTAAAGGGATGAGCAAGGCGGCGCTATCCGGTCTGACGCTGACGCGAGACGCAATGGCGCAATGGATTACGTCTCATTCAAGACGGTCTAGCGAAGATTCCATCCCTCGCAACTAGACGGTTCTTTAGAAGCTAAGCTACGCCCAAAAGCAGCAGAGGAAATGCTATCTAGCCACCATGCAACCCGTCAATTGGAGCGACGCGTAGCCTCAAAATAGAACTACGCAAAACTCCATTAGACACGTGTACTTTGCGCGGTAGATGCCGATTCTCCTTTGTAGCTTTTCATCGCCCCGCAACACTAATTTGCCCGGAAAGCACGAAAAGTATCTTCCGAATCGCATGTTTTTGGAGAATGCAAATTGATTTCGGTGGCCTGTAAAAGCTAGAAGCAAGAGAGAACGAGAGAGAGAGAGAGAGAGAGAGAGAGAGAGAGAGAACGAGAGCGAGGGAAAGCGAAAGAGAGAGAGAGAGCGAGAGTGACCTAAAGCGAGAGAGTGATCAAGGACACAAGGTTGCTTTTGGCAGTATTCAGGCCTTACGTGAAGCTGCGAATGGTAGCAGCGGGATAAAGTGGGGAGAAAAGCTCTTCAGCCACCTGCCCAAAAGATACAAGGAAGCTGCTGCGGGGCCAATGAAAAGCCTCGAGTATTTGGCCCGACGTCCTCGATCGACCAGGAAAAATGGGTTTCTAGAATTTCCTAAAAATGCTTGATAGCGGAGCGGGAGAGTGAGAGATGGAGTGCGAGAGAGGGAGAAACAGGGAGAGAGAATGAGCTTGATATAGCAAAAGAAACAGAGAAACCGAGAGAGCTAGTGGATTTTCGAAACCGTGAGAATCATGCTAGTCTCCCGCACGTCAACCTATGAGCTAGCCAAAGAAAGTGGCGTAAGGAGCTTCACCCTGCCCGAATTTCCGTCTATCAATGGAGGGCATTGAACATGGAGGGCGGCGTGTTCTTTGGGGGCTCCGACTCTAGTTTTTCAACTTCCAAAGTGTTGGGAGAGCAAAAAACGTTTGCATATGCCTAGAAAACGGGCGAGAGAGGGAGTGAGAGGAGAGAGAGAGAGAGGTAAGATAGACCGATAGCGAGAGGGGGTATCGGGAGCCAAAATATTCAAATTAAAAAGGTATCGTGCTCGATCCTTTTCCCAAAATAATCTCTGCACGCATGCTATGATAGCCAGGACTAGGAAGGGCTACGATTCGGGAAAATTCAGCGTTGTGAAACCGCCGGGGTTTTCACGAGATCTGGGCCCCGCCTGGAAGGAGGGCCACTCATCCTCCCCCTCCTGCTCCTCCTCCTTCCAACGCTAATTCCTGAATGGGCCACCGGCTTCTTCTCGGCGGAACCTCCCCCGCCGAGAACTTCCACCCCTTCACCCTGGCCACGTGAAAATATCCACGAAACGTAGCATATCAAAGGGGAATCGAGGATCCGCGTGCTAGAGAGCCTGGCAGGAGCCAAAAATCGCGAGCGAGACAGAGAGAGAGCGAGAGCGAGAGAGAGTGAGAAAGAGAGCGCGAGAGAGAGCGAGCGAGCGAGCCAGCGAGATAGTTTTAAAGTTCAAAAACCTGAAAAATAGTCTAGCGATTGGCTTGTGCATTCTAAAGAACACCCTCTGTTCTTGGGAGGTTCCAAGATTGAGGGCTCGACCTCCGAATCCTCCTCCGAATTCTAGCTGGGGCTCCAATTGAGGCCCGGCGCCGGGTGGAACAAATTGGATGTTGGGAAAGTGACAGGTTAGGCTGACAGAATTCACCAACATCCACACACCCCATCAGCAGCCTCTGCCCCAACATCATCATCGTCCCATTCTTCTCCGAATTTGTTGGGCAGTTTTTTTGCAAAATTTCTGAATCGAGGACACGAGCAATTCTGGGCAATTCAGGGGAAAATTTTAGGGAACATCGAATTCTTAGGCTCAGGAGCAAGTTTAGGCTTAGGCTTATGCTTAGCTTCGGTCTACCTTTGGCCTTGCTTAGGACTAGCTTTCGCTTATGCTTAGGCATAGACACAGGCTTATGCTTATAAGGAGTGCTTTTTTCGAGTCATACGCGGCTTAACCTTAGGCCCATGCTTAGGCTTAAGCTTTCGAGCATCCTACAGGTACAACCCGACACGGTATTTGAGCCATTTTGTAGCCCCAAAAAATGGTCATAGACATCCCCCAGGGGAGAAGATCGTCTGTTGACCATCCACCAAAAGCCAACAGCTAGGCGCGGGTGAAATTCCATCCTCACTCTCTGAGATCGAGCACCGAGCATATGTTCGGCTGATCAGCATGGTTGCCTCGAATTTTAAGGCTATAAGGAGTGAAGAATATGAGAGAGAGAGAGACAGAGAGAGAGAGAGAGAGAGAGAGAGAGAGAGAGAGAGGGAGGGGGGCGAGAGAGGGAGCGCGGCGAGTCATCGGAAATGTTATAAAATCTAGATCAATTAAGATTCGGGCAATGTGCTTGAGTTTTGATATCCGGTGATGCTCCGGAACGCTACTAGGGACGCCCGGAAAAATGTGGCCAAATAAACCCAGGCGGGGTTCATCAGCTAAGGTGCCCCGGGCGAAGTATTGCTATTTGATTGCGGCAGATCCGCAATACTTTTCGAGGCGAGAGAGCGAGAGACAGACAGAGAGTGAGAGAGAGAGGGAGCATGTGAAGGAGAGAGAGTGTGAGAGCGAGATAGCCAGAGAGCAAGAGAGAGATAGAGAGAGAGATGGTTGAGCGAGAAAGAGAGAGTGTGAGAGTGAGAGAGAGCGGGAGAGAGAGAGAGTGGGGGAGAGCGGGTGAGAGAGAGATTTGTCGTGTTTTTCTCAATCTACGTATGAAAATATCTTTATTCCATCCAAAAATCTGCATAATGTGTGTAGTCAAAAGTAACAAAAATAATTCACCGGTCATAACCACATTGTATATCACAATAAACAAAGCGCGCAGAGAAATGTGCATCAAAATTGGTCAAAAATTTGGCTGAAAGTATGGCGGGGGTATTTGGGGAGTGGAACATTGGCTGTTTCAAGGACCTGGGCGGGAATTGTGATATGGCACGGGCCACAAAATACACAAATATGCGAATTAAAAATACATTTGGGGTTACGGTAGAATCGGGGTTGGGTTACTGTAGGTATACTGTAGCTTAAAATAAATCGGTTAGTGCAAAACTGTTGGATTACTGTAGAAATTCGCCATTGGAAAAATGTAAAAAATTACTGCTTACGAAATTTTTCACGCTATATAGCCAATTTTTATTAACCTAGGAAATTCATTTATTTTAGAAAATTTTTGAATTTTGCTATCGCTAAACCGAGGCGGCCGACTGTAGCAATTAAAATTATGAAATCTGCATAATTTGAAATTTTCTTGATAAATTTTAATTCGTAATGACGAAACAAGCATTATTTTTTACGGTAACCCAATACAAGAATTTTTTAGAGAAACCGCGTGTTGTTAGTAGTGAGGCGTACGGAGTGAGGGAGGGGTTTTTGGCACTGGGAAATTTATGGGGTGGTGTATTCTCTAGCGAGGAGCATTTGAGCAAAAGGCTACGGTAGATGTGCGCAAAAATCAAATTACAAAAGTATCAACACGATTTTAAAAAGCCCAAAATCGGCAGCGCCTAGTCGAGAAAAAACATCACCCGTAGAGTAGTGTGGAGAGGGATATGGTAGGCAAATTCAGAAAACCAAAGCCCTTCCCCCCCCCCCTCCCCTTCCCCCTCCAGTTTATAATCCCCCCCCTTCTTTCCTCCCCAATATATAGTTGACGTTCGGCGCTTCAGAATCGTTCGACAATCACGTTCTAGGCGACTTGGGTTATTCCGGGGATACGACAGGGGGCGAAAGGGTACGGTAGCGTACGGTACGTGACGATAGTTAGGCCTGCTTAGGGTCAGCTTAGGCTTGGCTTGGACTTAGCGTAGGCTTCGTTCAGGCTTAGCTTAGGCTTAGCTTAGGCTTAGCTTAGGCTTAGGCACAAAACAAAGGGTAGTAAGCAACGTAATCACGCATTAATGGAACAAATTGAACACACAAGAACGCATGGGCAAATTAGGGAATTTTAGCATAGGATAGATCGAACCGAAAAAGACAGATGGAGTCAGAATCTTTTCAGCATCGAAGGGGTGCAGTAATAGACGAAGGGGAAAGACTCGGTATCACGGCAGATTTTTCAGTAAATCACCTTTAAAACGATACAAAGCACACTGACAACATAGGGATAGTATAGAAGCGGAATCCAGGGTTCCGGAAGCGGACGGCACGCCGGCAGTCTATACCTGGGTCTCGGTCCGTTTGCCCTTTTTCGCGACCGGACGGCCATCACCCGTGATACGGACACCTTGAGAGGGGCCCGGCTGGTCTCGGGCCGTGATCTAAATACGGGAGATACGGTAATTTAGGGCGCAACTTACCAGGCCTGGATACCCGTGCGGTTGCTCCTGGTTGACGACAAGGTTATGTTGGCCGGGCGGGGGCACGAATGAGGTACTCTCCTGAAAAACAGGGCGTTGGCACTGATCATTTGAGACAAACTGACAAAGAGCATAGTTAACAAACTTGTATTTAGACGCTCAAAATTTTATAAAAAAAAATATTTTCAATCCTCGAATTCCAGAAATCTTATTTAAAGGGAAAGTGACACCCAAAAAGAGCGTCTTTATCGATATCTTTCTCTAGCTCTTTTTCTCTGCTGAACCCTCTCTATCTTTCTGGCTCTCGCTCTCTCACTCACTCACTCTCTCTCGCTCTCCCTCTCTCTCTCAAGCCCTCTCGCATCCTCTCTGCCTCTCTATAGTTCTGCCTCTCGCTCTACTTTTCTCTCTCTCTCTCGCTCGCTCTCTGGCTCCTTCTCTTGAGGAACTCGATTTTCACGATTTCCGTCATATTTTTGCTGGTTTACCCCCACAACTCCCTAGAAAATCCGAACTTCTTGAAGATGTGCCGCCAGAAATGTTTATGAAACTTTCAAAAGTTCCTACCCTTCTCCTCGTCACCGGAAACGTCGTCTCCATCGTGGTCAGCATCGGTGGGGGCTCCTGTCTAGGTGTTGGCTGCTCTTCGATTGGTGATAACATCGGATGTTCTATTATTTCCCTATCGACGACCGGGGCTATCCCTGACGACGTCGTCGGGCCGCGTGGGGATTTTCTAAAGAATTTGGCGTTTAGGGGAATTCAGTGAAAACCTACGATCGCATGTTCTCGATGTTTTTGAAGAGTTTGCCCTTGACGATGAGGTCTCCGAATCCTTGGGAGTGGGAGAAGGCATAACCCGAACGGAGGGAGCCACGGACGGAGCGTCGCGTGGCTCTGGTACGTCGGAAGGCCGTTCTGAAACGGGGTATATGGTGGGGTACGACGGTTTGTATAAACGAAAAAGGTTTTCTAGAGCTCTAGCTCTAGCGCTCTCTCTCTCGCACTTTCGCACTCTCTCTCACTCTCTCTCCACTTACTGATCTTTCTCCTTGTCCTCCCTCTGCTTCTTCGGGCTTGGCGGCCGTTTCTTGTTCATAATCCGCAGCCTGTCGCCGAACGTCGGATGGACGTCCTGCCAGAAGAACCGCACCATGACCACCGGCATCAGCAGGATCACGCACACCTGGAAAAATTGAGCATTTACAAAATTTTCCCGAAAATTCAACAATTTTAGTGTATGATAAAGGGTTTATTAAATTTCAGCTTTCCACAATACTCCAATGAACGGCATCACTTTTTGTCGGCATTTTCCGGAAACTCCGAAACACTACCCCCAAAAATATTTACCACACTGCTCGAAAAATACATTTCGACCCCCGTAGTTTGTTTGCGCAGGTGACCCGGATCCCAATGGTGTTCATCCCCCACATTGTGAATGGTGTTCCGGGCCATTTGATGACCCGACAATAAAAATGACAAATAGACACCTTGGCGAATAGACGGCCCCTTGACCGCCGATTCGCCCGATTTCTTTATCCTCTTTTTTTTTGCTGGGAAAAAGGAAGAAAGAGACGGGTAGAAACACCGGATGCACTATCTTGAAGAGGGACAATCTCTCTGTCTCTTTCGCTCTCTCTCTCTCTCTGTCTCGCTATGTGTTTGTTTGCATAAAACGTATCGCGATGTTATTGTTGATTTTTGGGGGAAATTTGAGGGGTATTTACGGTGCGTGGAATCAAAATCGTAAGAAAACTTCAGAAGTGATGATATCATCGGTCTCTATTTTTAGAATTGAAATCGTTCACGTACTGTCACGGTCCCTTTAAAAGAAAGACTTCCGAAACAGTAGGAGGGCTCGGTGGACGCCTTGCGGGTGCGTTGCGTATAGAAAACACCGCTAGAATCCGCGCTGGAGAGACCGCTAGCCGTAACGGACTCGTGACGCTTTGAATGGATCTTTACACCAAATTTCCATTCTAAAATCGGTATCGGGATCTGTCACGACCTCTTTAACACCGAAAAAGCCGACTTTCAGCGCCCATTTCAACGTCCTCAAGTGCTCGAGCCCAAGGTTCAACACAGCACTGTCATTCCCGCTCTCTCTCTCTCTCTCTCTCTCTCTCTCTCTCTCTCTCTCTCTCTGTCTCTGTCTCTCTTTCTCCCTCCTCTCTCTCCCCTTCCTCTCTCTCCCCCCTCTCTCTCTCTCGCTCTCACCCAAAAAATCAACCCCCGAAAAGCTCGACGATAAAAAATGGGCCCGTCGTATGTTGCCGTAGCCCCAGGGCTCTTACACAGCACCCCGTTTCGATCATTCTCGAACGACTGGCCGCTAAAGTGCGCTCAAAAAATGACCACTGGCTGGGCAAAGGTCGAAAAACGGCCATGATATTTTTAGGGAGACTTAGAAGCCCAAAATGTATGTGAAAATTTTTTACATCGGCTTTGCTATATACTAACGATGACCGGCAGAAAGTTTTCTAAACATTTTTTGAAGAGTTCCAAGCCTCAAGAATTTGGCAATCTTGCTAAAAATCGAGAACAATCATCGATATTTCGGCTGGATACTAATTACGGGCAGGAGGCCGTTTCTCGAATTTTTCTATGCTCTTTCAAAGCTGCAGAATCCCTTCCGCATTACCGCCCAAAAATCCGCTATTTACTTTCACGCCTTGAAGTTTATCTGTGTACAAGGAGGGGGAATCGAGCCAACTGGTGGCCCTCAATCCGATGTGTGTATTTGCCACACCGAAACGTTGACCCAATGACCCACAGCTTTTCCTACCCTCTTTCTCTCGCTGAAGTGGTGGCCAACTTTTAGGGAACGGGAATGGCTTGACGGATCTGGGGGGATTGAGTCAGATTGGTTTCCTAAAGGGCACCTGACAGCCGTTGTTTTCGGAGGTCCAAAAGTTTTAAAGGGACTGGGAAGGCAGGGGAGCCTGGAATTTTGAAGCTATGAAACTGGGTTGGGATTGGGCGACTGTAATATCATGTAACTCTATTTGTCCCTCTCTATGTCTCTCTCACTATTTCTTTGTCTCTCTCTCTCTCTCTCTTTCTCCCTCTCTCTCTCTGCCTCTCTGTCTCTCTGTCTCTCTATGTCTCTCTCTCTCTCTCTCGCTCTCTCCTCTCTCTCTTTCTATCGCCCTCTATCAATTCCTCTTCGCCGAGATTTCTCAAAACGCAATACAGTGTGAGCTATCGGCCATAAGGCTCAGGACCCAGCGTCTTCTAGCGTAAAACTCGCACTACGAGCCGCAATTTTGAGCCCGAGGGGATCAACTAGACTGCGCTTTTTCCCCCTCCAAAATAGTTCAGTGGTCAGTTTATCGGATCCTCGATCGGCGACTTTTCCCTTAGAAACCAAAGCCTAAACAATGCCTGGAAAATCGGGAGCAAGAGCTGGAGGCAGACTATTTTATAAACAAACTCAATATGGCCCAAAAAAATATCGTTAATGCGTTAGCTCATCAAATAGCCCCTAGTACCCTCAAATTTCTTCGACAAACAGTCCACCCTCGCTGCCCGATGAGTCAGCCGGGAAAATTGGGTGGCACTGGGTGAAAAAAAAACTGAAATTCCGACACGCTCCAGTTTGCTTTTGCCTTGGTTGCACGCAAATAGAAGAAGGAATATTTTTAGCTCATCTTTTTGGCGATAAAAAGTCAGAATGTTTTAGTACAATTTTTGAAAAAATACCGATCCTAATTCCTGTAAATTCGGGTCAAAATCGATCGCGTTTTAAAAGTGTTATAGATCATTTTGAAGCTCTGAATCTGCTTTATTTTTTTAATTAAGTTTTAAACCTTTAAATCCTACTCCCGTGGAGAGGTACGCAAAAAAAAGATTTTCGAAAGCATGCAAAAATTTTAAGTCCTAAATATTTTTGGTATTTTAAGCAATTTAAGTTTTTTCAAACAATTTTAGTGTAGATCTCAACGAGTAGATGATCCTGGAGCTTGAAAACGTTGAAATAAGTGCAGACAGACACACAGACATACAAACAAACAAACAGAGCCCCAGAAAACATACAGTAAGGCAAATTGGTTAGGCTATAAAATTTGAACAAGTATGGGCAGACAGACAGACAAACATACAAACAAACCAACACACAAACAGACAGACAAACAGGAAGAAATTTTAGGCAGACAGATAGACAGACAGACAAACCCGGACCTCCTCCACATCAATCCCATCAAACGTGACATTAGCATCCAGTCATCTTGTTTGTTTCTACGTCCTTCGACCAACGGGGGGTGAATCATCGAATGCGAGAGAGAGAGAGAGAGAGAGAGAGAGAGAGATAGACAGAAAGGGGCGTGGCTTTGGTGGACCATGGTCCCGGCACGTGCCCCCCCCCCCAAGCGATTGACTATAAAGCGCCCCCAAATTCTTTGGGATTCACCAGACAGCCACTATCCACAGCTTTTCTACCTTTCAAGCTTCCCAGTCCCTTTAAAATTTACAATTCTAGAACCACCCTTCAAAAAAAAATGCGCTTCCTCGTTGCACTAGCACTGGTTGGCGCCGCCGCTGCTTTTGTGATCCGTAAGTTTTTATAGAGGGTTTAGAAGGTACTATCGTATCGTGAAAAGTACTGTCGTGTACTGGAAACTATCTATTTACTTTAAAAATATTAGTTAGTCTGTGTAAAATACAGTAATCTTTCAAAAAGCTACGGTAGCATACTTTAATCTTTAAAATATAGTTTAACGTACCCAAATTCAAAAAATATTATTCTAGATTACTGTTGTACTAAAAAATATTACTGTAGCCTAATTTAGAGCTATAAAAGTCTCGACGTACCTTAGAAATTATCCAACGTAGTCTGCCACGAAAAATTACAACTACTGTAAAAATAGATATCTCGAAACCTTTCCTCTAAAATCCACATTTTAGCCCACGAGGACAACCGGCAAAAGCGCTCCCCAACTGACGTTGCCCCGACCGGCGTCGACGTGAAGCCGTGGAAGAAAAACGAGCCCAACCTCCGCCAGATCAAGGCCGACAAGGAACAACAGAAGATTGGAGGTGAGCACGGGGCTTGAAAGGAATCGTCAGCTAGCAATAGGGCCATGGCAGAGCTCTAAATAACAAAAATTCTAGGCTCCGCCGGAATCCGTCGTGACACCCGCTCCGCCGAGTTCGACGTGGCCAAGGACAAAATTGGGGGACAGGCCGGAATTCGCCCCAAGGATCAGAAGATTGGAGGTGCGAGTTTGTGAAAGTTGAAGCCGAGCTTAAGCCTAAGCCTAAGCCTATTAAGTCTGACTTAAGCCCATTTTCTAGGACAAGCCGGAATCCGACCCCGCGAGGAGGAGAAGAAGTTCGACGTCGCCAAGGACAAGATTGGAGGTAGGCGGAGAGAGAGAGAGAGAGAGAGAGAGAGAGAGAGGATCGGGAGAGGGCGATAGAGAGAGGAAGCCTAACAGTTTAATTTTTAACCTTCTAGGAGCCGCTGGAATCCGCCGCGACACCCGCGATGCCGAGTTCAACGTGGCCGAGGACAAGATCGGAGGAAAGGCCGGCATCCGCCCCGATAACCAGGTAAGTGCGAGAGTGAGAGAGAGTGAGAGAGATATCCCAGTAGATGAACATCTTAACCCTATTTTTTCTAGCCGGTGACCGACGTGAAGCCGTGGAAGAAGGACCAACCCAAGGCCCTGTCCGGCAAGGTCAACTAAACCCCTTCACCACCCACCATGACGCGCGAGAATTGCCAAGAAGTCTGTGTAAATTTGTAAATACCAATATTGCTCTATGAAACGGGAATAAACAGCTTTAAGCCCAGAACAGGGAAAGTACGCCACACTCCGAAAAACAAATGTTATGTGGAGCTCCATTTTTCCTGCTCATCTACTTAAAAAATAATGTCTCCCTTTCCCTGTTCTCATGACCAAGCGCACGTGGGATATTTTGTAACTAAAAAAACACAAAAATGAAAAACACAAAAATTAAGTGTAAAGACCGACCATAAGGATGGAGAACCAGAAGTGCGGGGTGGTCATCGTTCGGAAGGCGACGTCGTACGAGATGGCGGACGCCGTCTTGGAGAGGAACGAGAAGGGGAGCGCTGAAAAATTGGTTAATTTTATTTGTTAAAGCTAGGATTTCAAAATTGGTTTTCGGGTTCTGGAGTTCATTATTGAAAATATAGTTAAGGCGGCAGCGACAAATCAAATCTCTGCCTCGCTCTCTCTCTCACTCTCTCTCTCTCTCTCTCTCGCTATCGCTCTTACGCTCTCTCTCTCTCTCTCTCTCTCATTCTCCGTCTCGCTCTATCGCCCTTCTCTCTCTCTCGCTGTCTCTCTCTCGCTCTTTCCCTCTCTTTTCCAATGTGTCGCTGTCCCTTTAAAATCCCAATTCCACGTCCGGAACCCAAAAATTCACCGATATGAATGTCAAACCAAAAAAAGAGAAAATTCCAGAAAAATATGAATGTGAATGCCAAAAGAAGCAAAATTGTCGGTGCTCGCGATCGTCTTAAGTGTTAAAAGTGGAAAATGTGAAATATAGAAATTTTCGGACATTTACGACAATCCCCGCATCGCTCGAGAAGCCAGAGGACGAGTGGTTCGACGACTGTAGGAAAGGTTGAGGAGCTTATTTTAAAGGGACAGGGAAGGGTGGGATTGAGGAGGTTGCATTACGGTATGGAAAGAAAAGATTTTATCTATTGAAGGTAGAATGGTTAGGAACGGATTTTAAAGTTTTCAAAAAAAAGTAAAGGTTATTAAAGGAGCGTGGCAGGTCGGTGGCGATATCATTTTATCTCTTGCTTTCTTACACGATCCGTCTCTATCGATCTCTTGCCCGCTCTCTCTCTCTATCTCTCTCTCTCTCTCTCTCTCTCTCTCTCTGTCTCACTCCGCTACTCTCTCGCTCGCGTTCTCTCTCCCTTGGTGCTCTCCTTATCCCTAACTCGCTCTATATATTGCGCGCTCTCTCTCTCCAGCCTGCTCTTTAGCTTTCTCTAGCCCGAGCTCACGCTCTCTCACCTCTCTCTCTCCCTCTCTCTCTCTCTCCATCTCTCTCTATCTCTCGCCCCCCCTTAAGTAGAAGTGCGTTTGGAGGAGTACATAACCATACAAATCACGAATTTCTCATCCCTCCCTTTCTGTCTCTCAACTACCCACAAATGATATCCTTGATGGCGGTGATTAAATCGCCTGAATACGGGTGAATTAGAGAGGGGATTACTAGTCTACAGTAGTCTAGGATAAGCTACGGTAGTCTATGCTATAAGCTAAATTACGTCTATCGGGTATCTCAAGAAAAAACCAACAACGTACCCTCATAGAAGATGAAGCACAGGGCAAAGTAGAAGATCACCGAGCCCCAGGTGACAATGTGGGTGATCGCTGTCCAATAGTAGGTGTCGAGACAGATCTGAAGAAGAGAGGATAAGGGAGAGCGAGATAGAGCGAGAGACTTAGAGAGAGAGAGAGAGGGAGGGAGAGAGAGAGAGAGAGAGGGAGAAGAGGAGGAGCCCGATGTAGAGGTCGTGCACCTGAACTTTTTGAAGACCTCGCGAAGCCGAGAGAGCGGGAGAGATAACGAGCAAGAGAGAACGAGAGAAAGAGAGCGAGAGCGAGAGCGAGAGAGAGAAAGAGAGAGCGTGAGGAGAGAGAGTGAGAGAGCAAGGGAGAGAAAGCGAGAGAGCAAGAGTGTTACCATACCTGTATTGTCACCACAATAAACAGTGCCGTAAAAGCGGTAAATGCCAGCGCCGGATAATCGTTCATATCTTTTCCCGTATGGTCTACGGCCTCGTAGAAGGCCCCGTATGGCACGAAGAATATCACCAGTGAACTGAAACCAATTACGGCGTGAAATTCACCACTCCCGATACCTAAACATTCCCTGCAGCACCGAGTAGATGAATATGCGCATGTTGAAGAAGAGGTTGTATTGGCCGGGGAGGTAGAGCTTGGGGTATCTGGAATTCGGGATTAAGTTTGGTTTCTTTAAAAGCTAAGGCTAAGCTTGAACTCCTGATTCCGAGCATGAACTTTAAAGGGACAAACAAGGCAATGCTATTCGAGACCCTATGAATCTCTACCTCAAGCTGCTGACTGCGTCGACGTCTTGGTCAAGTACACCCATCGCCATCACCGGTAACGCCGTGAAGAACAGGTTATAACAAGCGATGAGAATCGCGTCAAAAACCGTCTAAAAAAATCATGTTTTGAATTGCCTTCTATCTATTTATCTAACTCTCTCTCTTTCTCTCACTCTCTCGCTATCTCTCAAAACCCTACCTGAGCCGAATACCCGCAGAAGAACGAGAACCAAAAGTGGGTGAGGGTGAAGGCAAAGTTCTTGTAGAAGAAGTAGCTCAGGAATTTGCACATGCGGATGTAGGACCATCTAAAAGAGGATAAAAAATATTCCAAGAGTTTCCTACCTTCCATGCACTAATAGGAGTCGCTCCAGGTATTTGAACTGGCCGATGGAATAGTCGGAGGCGAGGACGGCTTGCATTCCTTCTTGGCCTGGAAAATGGAAGAGACTTCCTTCTTATCTAACTCTCTCTATCTTTTTCTCTATATCTATCGCTCTCTCTCTCGCTCTCTCTCTCGCTCTCCGTCTCTCTCATTCCCTCCGTCTGTTTCTCTCTATATATCCACGCTTATGCGGTCTGTCGGTCTGGCTGTCTGGCTGTCTGCCTGGCTCGCTCTCTCTCGCTATCTCTCTCTCTCTCTCTCTCTCTCTCTCTCTCTCTCTCTCTCTCTCTCTCTCTCTCTCTCTCTCGTTCCTCTCCTTACCAGAAATCCCGACACCAATATGTGCAGTCTTGATCATCGACACATCGTTGGCTCCATCCCCTATCGACAGCGTGACGGCCTTCTTATTCCGCTTCACCAGATCCACCACCTGGGCTTTCTGCAGAGGCGTCACTCGGCAGCAGATCACCGCCTAAATTGCATCAATTTTGGCGCTTACGGTCTAGAATTCGGCACGATACTTCAATTACAGATTATTCTCATATGAGGAAGTTGGCCCACCTGACACTTGCATGCAATCTCCAAGAATGTCGGGGCCAACCGCTCGTTTAACGCAAATCCTAAGGAATCCCCGTTGATGACCAGCGCGACACCGCCTTCACCGGAAGTACCAGGGGATTGTTGGTCGCCTGAAATTAGAATATTCGCTAGCTAAAGCTTTCCCTTTCTCTCTCTCTCTCTCTCTCTCTCTCTCTCTCTCTCTCTCTCTCTCCTCTCCTTCTCTCATTCTCCCCTTCTTACTTACCGTTAAAATTTGCTTCCTCCTGTATCGTCGATATTTGCCGATCTGGACTCCTTGCTGTCGACGTCGGCGGTCGTCCCGTCTACAATCAAATTTATAATTCCAGTATCCTGTTTATTAGGCGTTGATTAGTGCCGTGCAAGTGTCACACACTAATGGCGAGGTGGGTGTGAGTTGGTGCGTCGTGGGGGCACGTCACTACCAAGGACTACGGCTACCGTAATGGGTCTGTACTCCTGCTGCTGAGCCTCGGCCTCGCGGACGTAACGGATGATGTCGTCGATGTAGCGTTCGACGGCCGTCGTGCAGCCGAAGCGGTGGGCGCGGGTCTGTAGCCTGGGGCTACGCTATGCTACGACACGACGGGGTGGGGAGGAGAGGTTGGAAGGGGTGCTAATTTGGAATTGCAGCAATTTTTTGCGCTCTGACACACTTTCTCTCTCTCACTCGCGCTCTCTCACTCATGCACTGTCTCACTCTCACTCTCTTCGAACTCTTTTTCTCACTCTCGAGCTCACTATCACACTACGCTCATACTCATTCTCACTCTCGCTCTCTCGCTGTGCCACTCTCTCACTCTCTCGTCAAGAAGTTCCGCTCAGCGTTCATGCTCCATCATGCGAAAATTCGAAAGTGCAGAAAGTGCCGAATTCCGGTGACTATAGGTGCCGAACCATCACCACCATCACCCCAAAACCACCGCAAGACATGCCAAAATCCGGCAAAAAAAAACTGGTTGAAAAACTTACAGCTGCCAGCGCGGCGTCGAAAGCCCTCCAGGTGTCTCGGAGCTGGACGTCGACCTCTTGCTCGGTGTGTCTACAGGAGTGGGATTGAATCGGTAGAAAAAGGAGCTAAAGCCCCAAAGGGGCCCTAGCTCGCCGGAGGAGGGGGGGCACGAGGTCCAGCAAGAGTCAGAGATTTTGTGGTATGGGGATAAGAGCGAGAGAGAGAGAGAGAGAGAGAGAGAGAGAGAGTGAGCGAGAGAGAGAGCGAGAGAGTGAGAGAGAAAGAGAGAGACATACGTACCCGTCAATCACCATAATCTCGCTCATATCGTCCGTCAATAGGTGGCACGAGTAGGCAATGTTGATGGCCGTTTCCTAAATATAAGGCATTTTTCTACTTCCCCCTCAAAATTTCAAGAAGCTCGTGCTCAAACTGACCGTCTTGTCACCGGTGAGGACCCAGATTTTGATGTTGGCGGCCGCGAGTCTTGCAATAGCCTCCGGAACTCCGTCCTGCAGCTTGTCCTCGATGGCGGTGGCTCCGAGGAGGATCATGTCTGAAGGTTGGTGCATGGAGCGAGAGAGAGAGAAAGAGAGAGACAGAGCGAGAGAGAGAGAGTGAGTGGGAGAACGGGACAATGATACTTCAACTCACTTTTCTCAATCTCCTCATAAACCTCCTCCAGTTTCTGCTCCCGGTTGTACATGTCGATGGAAGCCTCGCGTTGGCGACGCTAAAAAAATGTATTTTTTTTGTGGCAGGGGTATGGAACGCCGTGGGAATAAGTTTCTTATTAAGTAGACGAGTCTTAAATCTATCCCTTACCATCCAATCCTCGAAATACGCATTGTCAATGTCCTTATAAGCAAGACAAAGCGTTCGCAGGCCAATCGCGGCAAAATCGGCGAGATGTTGATTAGTGGCGTCAAGGAGCAGGGGTGATGTTTGGGGGCTCAATCTGAAAATGGGATTCTTTCTCCCTCTCTCTCTCGCTTTCTCTTTCTCTCGCTCTCTGTATCTCTCTCTCCATCTTCTCTCTCTCCTTTAAACCAAATTTATCTCCTCCTCACCTTGCCATGATCATCATATCGGCTCCCTTACAGTAGAGACGGATTTTATTCTGGCTATTCCGGCAGATGACGGACATCCTCTTGCGGTCGTTGTTGAAGTCGAGGATGCAAAGGAGTTCATAGACCTAAAGAAGAAGTGTTTGGGTTTCGAGCTGTGAAATGCCGCTTAGATACCGGATAGTCAGAGCGAGAGAGAAATAGAGAGAGAGAGAGAGATGGAGAGAGAGAGAGAGAAATATCTGGCCCACCTCCTCCTTGCCATTCACCGAAATCGTAATCGACTGTGGTGTTCTGCTCCTGAAGACAAACCCAAAATTCCTGGCCGCAGAAGTCAGGGCGGCCTCGTCGGGTGATTGTGCCTAAATTTGAGGTTTAAAGAGGCCGGGAAGGCAAAATATCGATATAGATCTGTTTTCAGGTCGCGAAAATTACCTGGTATACCAATCGGCCGTTGTCCCGCTCGGGCATGACGGTGTGGCAGAGAGCGAGTAAGCGGAAGAATTCGGTAACCTAAAGGATAGATTTTTTCGTTCGCCCTCTCTCCGCCTCTCGCCCTCTCTCTCTTTCTCTCCCTCTCTCTCTCTCTCTCTCTCTCTCACCTCAAATGTCCCCTTATTGACAGCGTCCAATAGGTTCCAATCGTAGAATTTGAACGTCGGCTCGTACTCGGGGTTGAATTGAAAGTCGACGGAGGGTGTGTTCTGAACAAACAATGAGGATTAAAGGGGGTGTGACAGGCCGAAGCTTACCTCATTAATGTCGAGATAGTTTCCGCGGGCATCCATCGCATCACCATAGCGAACACCATTGATTGTACACTTGTTGAAGGTCATGATGTTTTGGGTCAACGTGCCCGTCTTGTCCGAGAAGACGTATTGCACCTAAAGATGGAGTAGAGGGGGAAAGAGCGAGATAGAGAGAGCGAGAGAGAGAGAGCGCGAGCGAGAGAGCGAGAAGGAGAGCGAGAGAGAGAGAAAGAGAGATCAAGTACATGGCAAAGAGGAGGAGCACGTTCTCGAATTCGGGCTTCTGAACTTCTTGAAGACGTCTTGAAGCCGTAGCGAGCTAGAGAGATGACGAGAGGGAGGGAGTGTGAGAGAGATAGCTAGAGAACGGGAGGGCGTGTGAGAGAGACAGCTAGAGAACGGGAGGGAGTGCGAGATCAAGCACATAGCAGTTAAGAGGAGCACGCTGTAGGACTCGTGCTTGTGAACGTCTTGAAGACGTCGCGAGGCCATAGAGAAACAGAGAGAGAGAGAAAGAGAGAGATTTCTTACCTGCCCAAGCTCTTCATTAAGTGTCGTCGATTGAGCCCTAGCAGCCACCGAATTCTCCCCGTTCTCGTAGAACATCTCCCGGTCGTTGTTGATCCAGAAGGAATGGATAAATCGTATAACCTCCACACTAAAATCCAATTGGAAGAATTGCATCAAGAAGCTTAATCCCCACCTGACATATAGTGAGATCGGCACCAGCGTGTTCAACAGAATGATGTAGGAGAAGAACATGAGGAAGGAGATGACCGAGATTTGCTTGCCCCCCTGAAGTCATTAATGCGTGTTTTTGGATTTGAGGCTTACCTTGTCCGCATCATTCCACCCGGGGATCGAGCTATCCCACGGCAGGTAGACGGTGAAAAATCGGCCGGTGGTCCATTCCCAGACACCGCAGAGAATGGTGCAGATCAGGCACATCGCAAGGAGGAGGAGCACGATCTGGAAGATGGACTCGTGAACTTGTTGAAAAACAGAGAGACAGAGAAATCCTTCAAAACCTACCCCCAAGATCAAGACGTTCAAGAATCGATCCAAGCTCGTCCGCTTGAACTTCGTTTTTCCCGAGTTCATCATCAGCTTCGTGTCCTTGCCGGCGAAGATAACGACTCCGTAGCACCTAAGAACAAAAAGTAATACAAGCTTAAGTCTAACAAAGTACGCCTGCGCCTATATCTCATGCTCACAAGTACGCTAAGCCCGAGCTCCTCTAGAAGCTTGGAGCTAACCACTAAAAACCACCTTACCATCTCGTATTTTTTAAAATACAGCCACGCAGCAGAATATTATCGTTCGTCATCGCCAGCGTCCGCCCTTGCCAGTTCAGCTGACCGTTGAACTTGTCGAGCTTGTTGTTCGGCGCCTCGCACACGATTTCGCCTAAAAAATTGAGTCGAAGATCCAAATAGAACATACCATGAAAGGGTGATATCTGGTCCAAATCATCGCCCATCTCGGCCGTTTCGGCGAGGGCACCCCGGGTTTTCAGGTTCGTCTCCCCGTCGAGCTCCTTCGTCTCGATGTAGCAGATTCCGTGGGGTTCGGAGGTGGACAGGACGAAGAGGTCGGCCTGGAAATCAAGAGGTATTGCTTTCTCTCTCCGGCGTCGGCTGATTTTCGAAATGTCGAAATTCAGAATGCCGAAATTTGACGGTGTCGAAAATTCAGCATATCGATGTCGACATTCTGGTAGCAAATCCTCGACATCCCTCTCACTCTCTCCCTCTCTCACTCTCGCTCCCTCTCTCACTCTCTCTCTCTGTCTCTCTCTCTCTCCACTAACCGCCACGAATTGGTTGCTCATCATCCGGATGACGTCGCCGACCTTGACGTTGTGCCACGGCTCTTCGACGAGGCGACCTCCTAAAAATATATTTGAAAAGGTAGCACTCATTAATGCGACAAAATAACCCTATCCCAACCCAAAGTCTAAGATAATGCGTTGATAAAGTTTAAAAAATTACTCACCTCTGACGACGTAGGATTTCCTATTATTGACCTGCCGATCCGAGATGTGCCGTTGCTAAATGGAATCCATAGCCTTGCCCAACTTTAGCCTTTAATGGTCCTTTAAAGGGCGTACCACATCATCGTAGGCGTCCTTAATGGCCGAGACGGCCAGCACGAAGACGAGCGGAATGAAAGTGGTGTACCAGGCTATGGAGGAGATCACCGGGATAAACTGGAATGGTAAATAGGTATAGTAGAACGCGCACTAATGACATGCTTATAGACGTCCGAATTCACCGTTATTTATTTTTTGTTGTTACCTGTAATATCATCAACACTAGAAAGTAGAAGTTTGCTATTCGCGTGAACTGCTCGAAGAGGTTCTGCGGGATGAAGGTGAGCAGATTGTACTTGGACGTCTTGATGTAGTTGTCCTGAAATAATGGAAATGGGATGAATTCAATTAGGCTAATTTCAACCGAGCTTGATCCGATGCTCCCTTCAAAAAGCTCGTTCTCACCTTATACTTGAACTGTGCATTATACTCCGAGTCATTGGCGCGTAACCGCCGTTCCTCGGCCCCGAGGATGATGCCGTCCTTCTCATTGCCCTTCTTTTTCCGAAACCCGTCCAAACACCCGCACATATCACTCCAGCGCCAGCCAGAATTCTTCTTCTTCCCGTCGGCGGCACGGTCGGCCGGGAATTGGGGGGTTATTCCTGGAATTTCGCGCGTACATTGGTGCATAGCGGTCGCGTTGCGGGGCTAGTGAGACGGGAAATAGGAATACATAGCGTGTACGTTTAGACTCTTCCCGAGCGAGTTTTGGCAGCTTTTTCTTGTTTGGGGAGGCGGAAACCGCAGAATGAGAAAGAGAGAGTGAGTGAGAGAGCGAGAGATAGAGGGAAATATAATGAGAGAGAATGAGTGAGAGTGAGTGAGAGCGAGAGAGCGAGAGAGCGTGCGAGAGAGACAGAGATTGCGAGGGAGAGATAGATAATGAGAGAGAGAATGAGTGAGTGAGAGCGAGAGAGACAGAAGGAAAGAGAAAGAGAGATATGTAGAGAGAGAGAAAGAGAGAGAGAGCGAGAGAGATACACTACCCAATTCTGCTAAAACTTTTAATATATTTTTCGCTGGTTCTAACCTTTTTCTCCTGGTGTACCGGGGGCTGTGGCTGATGAGGCCTCGCGCGCGGGGGCGACGACAGCTGAAAAAAACGTATTTATTACTATTTTATTTTAATTCGAGCAACCGTTAAAAACCGTATCAATCCAGTTTCTCTATGGTCGAAAGCCTCAGAAAAATTTTGGATACCAGAAGCTATCTCAGTTCATTTTTCAAAAAGAAATTTATTTGGGTATTTTCCCCGTTGAAAAGTCTCCCGAAACTCAATTTCCCCATCTCCAGGCAATTTCTACCATTGCACTTGACTGCTATGGACAAATAGTCGACATGTGTATCGGCACGTTGCGTACTGGGGCCCCGAATGGACCCTCAGAAATCAGAAACTTGGAACGGCAAAAAGGACACGACTGGGTTATTGGCTATTAATGACCGGGCCGGGTGTTATAGCGACATTTTCTGACTTCGGAATCGATAAGGGGTGAAATTCTGATTGGTTGGTAATGAAAAAGTTGCGTAAATGAAAGAGAGAGAGAGAGAGAGAGAGAGAGAGAGAGAGAGAGAGCGAGACAAGCGACGAGAGAGACGAGAATGAGGAGAGATAGGATTTTCTACCAAAATGCAGAAGTTCCATAATCCGATAAAAAAATTGCGATAAAATCGGATAAAAATACGAATTTCGATATCTTTCAAATTTCGAAATGCTGTCCAATCAACATTTTTATTGTACATTTTGTTTTTTGATCCTTTTAAAAAAGAAACGGTACCTTTAAAAAGTATTTAAATTTCGAAACGTGTACACCTATTGACAGTCTGCGAGTGGAAGCGATATATGGAGAATCGAGTAGAGCAGTAGAGAGTGGCAGGAGGGGTTTAGTGTCCTCTGCCCCATTCAGGCTTCTCCCCCTTCCCCCCAAACCGCATAATAATAGCCGCCAAATACTCCCGACTGTTGCTGCTCACGCCCCCCAAAAATCGGAGTCACTTTTTAGCCGCCGGTCCGGTGAAAGGGCAACTTTTTAGGGAATTTTTTGACGGTCAAGCTGTGCTGCCCTTTTGCGAGGAATTTTATTTGAAAAATGTGTTTTTTTTCTGGCGGGCTTCAAGTCCAGGGTGCTAGCAGAGAGCCTTGGGGAAATGAAAACCTTTTGGAAATGAGAGCATGCGCTAAAGTTGACTAAGCATACGCAGAATTAGAAGAAGCCTAAGCATACACAACGCACTCGCGACGAGCCGCAACGCGTCCGCGACGCCTGGGTTTCGCCGTTTTCGGGCTTAAGGGAAGCGCACTAAAAATCCATATCAGAGGTCGTCTTTAACATATGCAAAACGCGCACAAATTAGTATCGTCTAGAGGCGTTTCGCGTAGTCGCGTACTTCTACGCCGCACTCCTATGCACGCGCTCATCAGTTGCCTCTTAGAATTTGAGCAAGTTGCCTTTGCTAAGCTAAGGTGCGCTCTGGTCTAGGCTACAAACAAAGTCGAAGCCAAGCCTAAGCCTAGGCCCAACCGCAAGTTCAACCCAAGCCAAGCTGGTACCTAAGCGCAAGCCCAAGCCCAAGCCCGAGTCGAAGCCTAAGCCTAACCTAACCCAAGCCTCCTCCCACTACCTTTTTCGCCCAAAATCGGTTCCGATCTCGCCGATATCGTGCTCTCCAACGTCGACGGGGTGTTCAGCGTCGAGTTGGTGATTGTAGAAATTGTAGCCGAATCATTTGGAATCCTTTTCTGGCCTTTCGGCTTCTTTTTCACCTCTCTTTTCGCCCGTTTCTTGCCCTTCTTCCCGACGGGGAGATCTACAGGTGCGGTTTTGGGCTTCGAACTTGTCGACGATTTTTTCTTCGGTTTTTCAATCGACGCGTTTGTGGGTGAGATTCGCTTCGGGGATTTGCCGACTTTTCGCTTTGATTTTGGCGATTTTTTCGGGGATTTTGTCGGCATTTCCGGGGTTTTTGAGGCGTTGTACATCTCCAGATAGCGTAATTATGGATCCTTGCGTACTCTTGAAAAAATGGAGTAGTAAAAATGTAGTACGTACTTTATCTGAGGCTTAATATCGTAATTACGGATTTTAGCGTACTATTCCGTAGATGTCAGTGCTAAAAATAATATTAGACTTTGTAGTCCGTAGTTGAGCGCAAAAACTAGTAGCGTAATTATGGATTGTTGCGTACTCTTCCCCAAATAAAGTATTGCAGATAGCGTAAAAAGTTGTAGTATGTAGTTTTCCACCGTACGCCTCGAAATTGTCGCCGCACCCGGTGTAGAACTTCGGAATTCGTCAAAATCCCAGGAAACAGAGCCAGAATCCCAGAATTCTGGTTGTGTTGTGTTACAATAATCGGCTGGTAGTCGCTAGATACCGGGCGCGTTGCCGGGCGATCCAAGTTTTTTTTGCGCGGCGCGAGCCCTGGAATTCAGGGGGTGGGCGAGATTCGCTTTTTTGGGTGGATGGTGGGCGCGGGAATGGGGTGGATTTGTGTGATTTTGGCCCGGGAGACGCCCAGGGACACCGAAGAGGGCAACCCGCTGAAGAGCTGCTGGCTTCACCAAAGAAGCCATAAAACCGTGGGGTGATGATTGGGGAAAATGGCTTATATCCGGCACAGCTATCAACGATTTTGGAGCCCTGATTCGACAAGTTGAAGACGTTCAAAAAACGCGCCGCTTTTGCATCCAAGCGATTTTTTTGAAAATGCAAGATTTAGCCTGTTTCCACTAAAATTTCATCTTTCTAAGCGACAAATCGGAAAAAGCCAAATTTTTGGAAATACAGGATTCGCGAAACGCGGATTTTAGTATGCTAAATCTGCTAAAAAATGAAACATTCAAAGAATGAAAAGCGTGTTGTTTTAGACAGAAATACTTTGCAATTTTTGCTTGAATATTAGGGAAGATCAAAACAGCGTAAAGCCACCGAAAAAAGAATTAAAATTAATTTAAAAACGGTAAAGGGGAGGAACTATTTTCTAACGATCTAGTTGCCTAATATTAATACATAAAGCAAGCTTTTTACTAAGCCTAACCGTAAAAACATTACATTTCTGAATAAAAACTACAAAAATATAGATTTTTCGACAGAAATGGCCGATTTTCGACGAAAATTTCCTCCGAAAAAAGGTTTCAAACTTTTTTGATCGTTTTCCACCTAGACCATAGGTAAATTTTACTGAAAACACAATTCAACACTCACAATTATGTCACGATACATTCTCCAACTCGTCGCAAAGTTGCCCCCGCCATAACCCCCCGATAATGCCAAAGAAACTAAAAAGATAACCTTTTTACGTTTCTGGCGTCAAGTTCGAGGATACCGCGGGGCGTCTAATTCCGGGCAGGAAAGAAGCCAGAGAGGGAGAGAGAGAGAGAAGGAGAGAGAGAGAGAGAGAGAGAGAGAGAGAGAGAGAGAGGGAGAGAGAGAGAGAGCGGCCTATGCCATAAGTTGTCAGCTTTCTGTGTTCCTCAAGAAGAAATATAGAAAAGGTCCTCCCAACAGCTAAACGGCCTAAACCCAAGTCCAAACGAAGTACGTGAAGCCATCGGAACGGGGCGCGTGTAACCGTGAGTGGGCGCGACTATGAAAAGCTTGGGCCGATAAAAGTAAGGTGAAAAAAGAGAGGTGGTGGAGGGGTGGATGGGCTATGGGCGGTGTGGTCGCAAATATGGAGAGCAGGGGAAAAGGGCAGAAAGTGATAAGGAGAGTCATACTAAAATCTGCCTAGCTGTCCGTCCGTTTTTTAGTATATTCCGGGTCTATGATTTCTGGGACGTCAAAACTAAATGGTGTCCTTCTGAGGTCTGTATTCTCTCAGGAACTCACACTGTCTAACCTAACCCGTAAAATTGGGCGGTCATCTTTAAAGTAGCGTCTTTTACAACAGGAAAATTGGGCCGGGCCTTGAAGTTTTTTCGAATTCGACATTTTAATTTCGAAAGTTTGAATACGCTGCTGAGACGTTTTTCAGCACCATTTTTTTGGCTAAAATGCGATAAGTTCGAAGGTTAGGCTTAGGCTTAGGTTTACGCCTAGGCGTAGGCTTGGACTTAGGCTTAGGCTTAGGCAAAGGCTTAGCTTAGGGTTAGCTTAGGCTTAGGACTAGATTTAGGCTTAGCTCAGGCTTAGACTTAGGCGTAAGCTTGGCTTAGGCTTAGGCTTAGGCCTGGGCTTAAGCTTAAGCTAAGGTAGGTTTGGGCTTAGGCCTCGGCTTCGCTTAGGATTAGACTGGGTTAGGTTTAGGCTTGGGCTTAGGCGTAGGTTTAGACATAGGCCTAGGCTTAAGCTTCGAGTGCTTAGGCTTAGGCGGCTTAGGCTGTTTAGTCTCCGGAATATGCTGTTTCGGCTGCGTACACTCAGGTTTGGCTTAGGCTTGAGCTTATGTCTCGGCCTAGGCTTAGGCTTACGGTTAAGCTTAGGCTTAAGCTTAGGCTCAGGATTCCAAAGTCAACAACTTAATCACAAAATTTGGATCGATTCAAAGCCATCAAGCCAAACTAGCGGCTGCGGGTGGTAATTAGGAAAGACGATCGCCCCGAGACGCGATCAAGCCCAGGGGCGTTTGCTTGTATTGGCCCGGGTGGCGGGTCCTCTTTGTCACAAATACATATAAGGGGACAGAGAGAC